ATACTATAACTCAGTGAATGAAAAGAGTCTGGAAAAAATCTCAGAAATCTATGTCCTAATATTTATAATACTTTTCAGTGATACACAGAAAAAAACACATACACACAGACAAATCAAAATATTACTGTAATCTACTCCTGGCTCTCTCTTCTGTTTAGTTTTATGAAACAAATAATTTAGCAGGCAACGTACAGTATAGAGGCCCTTAGTGGATTGCAATATACTAAGTAAGCATGTTTTTCTTTTTGTTTAATTTATAGTCCCTGGAAAAAAGACATTTAAAAACCTATTGTCAGGGTTTACAAAGCTCATAGGGATAGTTAGTTCTCTGACTCTATTGTTGGCTAAAATGTTAGACATATTTACCACGAGAGGTCTTTTCGTTTATGGATGTACTAAGGCCTCAAGGGTTCTTCATCAGTGGATATATGTTTTAATGACAGAGAATTGCAACATGCAGTATTGCCTTCAAACTGACAACCGCAGGACAAGTATATAGATATTAACCTAGAATTTACTGTATAAGCATTGGAGGCAATAATTTCCCAAAGAGAAACTGAATTTTTATCTTTTTTAATACCTTTATCTTTTATTCAGCTTGAGTAATTTCTTAAAACATACTCCTGCCAAAGTCTGCGAGTAACATATTTTTGGTGTCAGTGATAAACTGAAGGGGGAAAAAAAGGCAAGAAAAAAATTGGTAGAGCTGACCGAATTGAGTTACTTCATTTTTTGGCTCTTGGTGTAATTTTCTTTCCTTTTTTCCATATTTTTGGTTTCTTAACCAATGTGGATCATTCTGAAAATGTCAAAAAACCCCACACATTTAATCTTTTCAGAATTTTAATGTCTGAAACCAAATTCTACCAGAATTTTAAAATAGATGTAGTACGTAAGCAACTACTTGGGGTTGGTCGTTTTTTTTTTTTGTGATTTATTGTTCCTTCATTTGTAGTTAGTCATATCAAGGAAACTGCACATCCCACTGGGTTGCATACAAACAAAGCCAGGAAATAATAGGTCTGTAATCTTTTCATAGTATAACAGAGAAATCAACAGTTACTAAAGAAATCATAAATCACTGAATAAAAAGAGAAGAGTGCAAGAGTTCCATCAATAAAAATGTCACCCTTTACTGTAGCTGAGTGAAAAGTGCAAAACATTTGCCAATCAATTATTTTCTAGAGATACCCAGTGCAAACACAAAACACAGGAAAGACCATGCTATGATAACCCCATATCCTATCTTGTGCAAAGCTATAGAATATGAAATCTGCTGCTTTTCTCTGTTCCATGAACCATCGTCCTATTTTTGCTGTATTTCATTGGTTTCTTTGTTACTTTATTTCCTGCTTCCCACTAGTTTTTGAGCTTGTAGATCTTGCAGCCTGTGCAGTGGTATACAGTATTTATTTCCCCTTTGGAACACATTCTGACTTCACATAGTGGCTCGCTGTAGCCTTTTTCATTAGAAAATATTGGCCTACAACACAGGCATGATCTATGGTCTTTAAACACCAGCTACCTCAGTCAGCTCAACAATCAGTTTTCATCCAAAAGCTAAAGGGCAAATTTCCTTTGCAAGGCTTCTAAATGCCAGATTTCAACTTCTTCGCTCTCCGTTTTCAATGCCAAGACAGTTCGAGAAAATCTTTTAATAATGCTTTTCTAAGAAGATATAATTTTGCTCAGTGCTTAAAAAGCAACCACTCATAGACAGAGCTCAAACCTGGCCATTTCCAGGAATATCTTTTGAAGCGGAATCCGAGAAGAGGGTCTTAGAACAGATACACACAGGCAGCCTCTACAACTGCCATTGGTGATTCAGTTAAAATAATGCAACTTAATATGATTGCTGCTGAGATCTTTGCATTTTCTCTCTAACATAAAACCTTTCCATTTGTGTTTTGAATAGGTAAGCCTACAGGCTATGGATCCAGCAGTAGACGCTTACACCACAAGGGAATAGTGGATGAATGCTGCTTCCAGAGTTGTGACCTGAGGAGGCTGGAGATGTACTGTGCTCCAATAAAGCCACCTAAATCTGCACGCTCTGTACGTGCTCAGCGCCACACTGATATGCCAAAAGCACAAAAGGTAGGCCAGGCTGGAAAAACAAAACAAAACCAAAAACCTACATATTTTAGGGAAGGGAAATTCTATCAAGGCTGGTAACAGCAAAAAACTGACGTGTTCTGCCTACTAGGGACACTGAGATTTAGAGGGGTTTTGCAAAACAGTGTGTGTGGTAATAAATAAGTAGAAAATTGTGTGTTCTCTCTCACCTCTTAGAACACTGAATAAAAGACGGAATTACTAACCTAGTAGTTGTGAAGATTTATCCTTCTACTGGGTAGTAAATGACAAGTACTCACATCATCCAATCATAAATAGCACCTAGGACTTCTTTCAAAAGAGAAGTCAAACACTGAATGTTTAACAACTGATCGGTACATAGCCTCCTCATTCATCCTTCTTTGTCAGGAGGAGGTAGAGTGAGTGATCAAAAGGGAAAACAGCTTTTCTACTATTCATTTTACATGTAAATTAACAAATTATTTTTTTTTCTTCATTGTTTTGGCTTTTTTTTTAATTTATCAGAACTAAATTAATTGGATAGTGATTGCAATCATTACATACTTCATTTTAACACTTTAATTTTTAATATGCATATTTTCCAAGCATGCCAAACATTCATTGGTATTGTTGGCATAATTGTGAAATTTAGAGTATCCAGATGTTTGTTCTTGTCATGCTAGATATACCGTACATATATGTAGTTAAGTCCCATCTCTCCTCAACAGAGCCTATAGTTCAGGAAAACTATCTTAGGCCAGGCTCCCATTAAGCTCATAGCCAACTGTCACTCCTGTTTAAGTTCTGAACATCTGTTTTACATGTTATTTGTCATCTGCTGTAAGCCTCTAGTGATATATTTTGTTGTAGCTGACCCTGTCTGTCCTACACATGTTGGCCGCACTCCTGCAGTTATCTGAAATTTTTTTCTTATAAGCAATGGAACTGCATGAAATCCTAAGATTTCACAGTCAGGAAGCCAGAACTATATACTACTTTCCTTAATGTTATCTTTATGAAAAGATCAATTGTAATTGTTCCAGCATCCATTTCTTTTCCATGTGTCAACCCATAGAATGGAAACCTTTCACATCTTCCTCAACCATTTTCAATCTTTTGAGGTAATGGCTGTATGATTCTTCCTGGGAAGTGCCACCTTAGCTGTGGACATCTCACAAGGCACACATGACAACAAGTGAAGTTGTCTTCAGGTAGAGCTCAACTAGAGACAAGAAAACCCTGTGGTTTATTCCTGTCTGGGCATACATATATATAATGCTTGAGGGAAAAGAAGAAAACAGGCTTGGCCAGTAACCTGTGTGCTCCTTCCCAAACTTGTTGCTAAGGTGATGTGTAAAACATCCTGTAACTTCAACTAAAAGGCAGCAAGATACCTGCCAGCTCTCTGATGGATCTGTACAGCACATTCCTTGTAGGGCTAAGGAATGATGTCATTCTTTAGGCAGCTGTGCTCTTCCCAGATCACAAGATAGGCAGGAAAATACTTTTCTTACAATGAAGATAGAACCGAAGAAAGGCCTTGCATCTTTCTGCAGCAGCAGGGAATGTAGTGTGCGAGAAGGCGTACTGGAAGAAGAAAAAAACTAGAGGGGGTATGTAGTAATTGAGAGAAGCTAGCTGCAGAAGAAATCATCCAGGAAATTAAAAGAAAGGGAAAAAAAAAAAATCAAGAAGTTAAAAGAAAGGATAGGGAATTCTATCAAAGAAGCTGGGAAATGAGAAATATTGACCAGCTGAATGAACCATGGTGCATCACACAGAAATGAGAGAATTTTGAGAAAAGGGGACAGAAAACCAAATTAGAGAAAAATTAACATTAAAGAAAGCAACACTTTTACAGAAAATGTATGTGAAAAGGAGGAGAGAAGTGAATACAAGCAGAAAAATCATAAATATTTCTTGATGGGAACCTGTTGATGAAATAACAGAAATCTGATGGGAAAAAGAAACAAAAGTTTTCATTAGTATCTGTGGATGGAGAAAACTAGATTGAGGAAACAAAATACAGAAGGGATGAGGAGGAACTATTATTCAGATTCATCAAAAAAGGAAAATACAGACAAGAAGAGAAGGGAAACAATTCATAAAGAAAAACTCTGTGAAAAAGCTCTGGTATATATTCTCATGTAATTATTTTTTCTTTCTTTTTTTCCTTTTGCAGTTATCTGTATATGCTTCCATTAAGAAATACAATGTTATATTCATACTTTCTTCTTTGGATAGGCACCCCCAATATGAATGCATTTAGCTAATTCATAGTGTTGATATGCCACTAATTTCAGTTAAGAAATTAATTATACTAAAGTCAAATTGTTTTTCAGTTGAACAGGTTTTCTTCTAGCTCAGCATATTTTTCTCTCCTAGTATTGTATGTGATGCACATATGTATTGTCTTATGTATGTTCACTTTATGTGTAAAAAATATGTTGTCTGTAATATTTTCTTATTTGGATACAAGATTTAAGGCAGTGTTAAGTAGAATATATAACATATTGTAGTTACTCTCAGATTTCATACACAATCAGTTTCTTATGTCTTTCATACTTCTAATACAGTTTTTATTTTGCATCACTTATAACTTTTTTAATAGACAAAGTAAGAGTTGTGTTTTGGTTTAAGTGTTTTTCTAAGAGGTCTACTTTCCCAAGTCCTTGAGCAGATCTTTCCTTCTATGCACAATCTGGTAGATTAACTTGCTTCAATGAAGAAAGGCTGTTCTCTTTATAGGTTATGTTAATGCTGCTCTTTGTCATTACATTAAACAAGTGTTGCTACACTGCATATGCAAATCTGAATGATGAAGGCCAGGCGCTGAATGATTAATGTGGGCTGGGAACCCCAAAATGCCCATTTGCTACTGTAAGGCAAATATCAAGAGCTAGTTTTAGTCCAATTACAGAGACCATACATACAGAGTTTGTTTGTTTGTAGCTAATGAACAAAATAATTCTTTCTCTATAGGATCATAGTCACCTGTTCTAAGACCTTTACTCACAAATAAATATGAAAGTATATGGCAAAGAAAAAAGAAACACACTGTTACGATGTTTTTAGGGGTATTGTATACACAGTATATTTCACAGGTTCACCAAAAAAAAATAGGAATTAGGAAAACAAGCAGTTAGAAACACTTTGTTATTGCCTCAGCTGCTGTATACAATGGAGAACAGACCCAACGTTAACTCTATCCTAACTTACATGCCCAGTTTTTACCACTTTTTTTGCACTCAGCCCATAAGATTACCTTAAACTGGAGCAGCCAATGAATGCAACAAGCATGCATTATAGTTTGCATAATGAGAAATGAAGTATGCATCAGAAGACAATGTGATAGCTACAGGCTAACCACCCTGGAGTCTGTAGTGAACAGTTGGGATAACTCAGAGTATCTTCCCAGCTGGATTTCAGCACTGTGGACCTTCAGTAAATTGTAAGCTACAGTAATACACAGTTTCTGTTGGTGCCCAGGAGTCAAACATCCTTCTCAAACATCTATCTAAAGGATACCAAACTCCTACCGAAGTGTGTGTCCCCTACTTAAAAAGAATTATTTCTCTGACTCCCTGAATTATCTTATATTTTTTTAAGTTGCAGTCTACAGAGGTCACCTAACACGTCTGGGTCAGTAACTCTGGGATGAAAAAACTGTCTGTACTTTGAGATGCTTCTGGAGCATTCCAATTGCTTTCTCCTGTGTGAAACAATAAATGTCAAAGCATGGAAGTTTTAAATAAATAGGTTTTTCAGTAGCCTTCACACGTTGCTGTAACAATAATATCCAAAGCATATTTTATATAAAAATCCCAACATAGCTGGCTAAGATTTAGGAAACCATTTATTTTATATTTTTTATTTCTGCTCCTCTAAACTTGATCTGCAAAATTACTCCTTTAAATAGAACAGGATCTATCCATATAATCTGCATTCAGTCAATCTGTGTTCTAGAATATGTTGCCCTGTTCATTCAGATTCCTCGGTACAAGAGCAGCTGATCAGAAATAGAGAAATGGCATAAAATATGCAAGAGCTACAGGTAATGCAATTGGTTTTCTCTAATAGGCCTCTTAAGGAAAGATTGGTGATTAAATTAGATTTTCAGTTTATGGTCAGTTTGATGAAATTAAAAAAAACCAATAATTCAGGACAACTGTTCTGGACCATTAAGTTAAGGGAATAGAAGAAATGTAGATCCTGTTGCAACCCTAAGAGCAAGAATGATAAAGAGTGTACTTCTTCAGTGTATTTAACTTACTTCAATACATATAACTTTCTATTATTAATACTAATATTATTAATGTCGATTAGTTCTCTATATCTTTTTACTACACTGAATGAGAAATAAGATGTTTTGAAAAGGGAAAGTCAGAAATCTCACATTGAAACTGCTGGAATTTAATATTTTGGTATTTCCAAAGCAAAATATTTTAATTTTAAAAAGTAAAAATAAAGCTTTTTGATTTCTTGTAGCTTTATCTTTTTCTTGTGGTGAAACTGACCTTCATTAACTTATTTTCAGCCTCCTCAAAACTTTAAATTTAAGAATTTAATATTACTCAAAATCCCCTTACTTTCCTGACCATCTTAACTAAGCTACTGAAATTTACTATTTCATCATTTTGCATTAATTGTAATACTATTCAAAACAAGACCCCACTAAAATATAGAGTTAAAATACTGTAAAAATTAAATATTATTTAAACACCTGTACATTACAAAAAATAAGTTAGTTTTTTTTTTCAGGATCCCCATCCAGCAATTATTCCTATTAATCTTGCAGCAATTTTCTTTTTAAAATAAAAATATATTATTATTTCTCATTAATATTCACATTAAATTTAAGATTAGGAAAACCTAAACTTTTTATCAAATAATCCAACCAACCTGCACAACCTGTTGCTCACTCATTTAATGATCACTTATCAATTCTGCTCATCCAAATTCTGTTCTGTTTACTTGCTTGTTATTGGAATACTCTGTTGAAAGTTTTCAATAGAATTCTTACTGTTAAAAAATGAGAGATATTTAGGTATTTATCTTGTTACAACTGATGAAAAATAGGAAGTACATAATACAACTGCATAATGCAAATTAATTTTAAACTTCTACCCCAATTGCAGTTAGCTATGTATATAAGCAGAGGTTATTAAAGAGAACACAACTTAACCAATTTTCAACATTTCTAAACACTAGAAAGATGTCCTTTAATTTTTAACAAAGAGAACAGATGTGAGACCCAAGCGCATTATAGATGAAGATTTTTTTTTTCAATCTAAAACTATGAGAATAACTATTGACATTGCTTTTAGATTAAAATCTCATTTAATGAGCAAATACATCAGTTAGCAATGTAGTAGTAAAGAACAGGGAGAAATGCCCAGGATTTGCATTGGAAAGGAAAGTAGTTATTTCACCTATTTTTTTCACTAAGTTTATGTTTAGAGTTTCAAACTGCAAAACAGGAGCAAGAAGGAGAATTAAATTTCTGTCTTCACCAAATATGGTTCCATCTAGCTTGTCTTTCATTCATTTCTTTCTCTTCTGAGAAATGCTAATAAATTTAAGTTTATTTACCCTTAAGTAAATTAAGTTCTAAGAGCAATTTGGAAAACTAGAGAATAGAACTTTGGAAAACAACTGTTCTCTGTTCAAGCAAAGGAAATTGAGCTATTTCAACAGCAATCGTGTAAATGAAGGGAGACTGGGACCTTTTTCAATGAAGCAGTGTCACAGAACTGGGGCCATAAAGTTCGTATCAATTTAAGGGTACAAGGTACCTTGAAAATTATTACATGAATATGAAACTCTGGTAAGGCTGATTTTAAAATCCAGTAAGTAAAGAAGAGGGTAAACAAAAAAACCATAGTACCATGTCATCCTCTTGCACCCTGAGCAAAAGGGCCAAAGAGATCTTGATCCAATTTTTTTCTTCCTCATATTTTTAGTCCTTATTTCTCTTTAGGCCTCATATTTGGAAAAATACACACAAATATATTTACTAAAAAAAGTATCAATAGGAAGTATAGTCTCTAAAAATTTCAATATTGAAATAAATACTAAGTGGGACTAAGAGAGAGAGGAAAAGATGTTAAGATTTTTAGTTTAAGAAAAAGCCATTAATAAAACAGGAAAAATATTATATTATTTCTCATTAATCTTTCTAAACTTGACAGATTTTTAATTGCCTCAGTATCAAGTCACAGTTGTATTTACAGGCCAAAATATTCACAATGGCACTAATTTCTATTACAGCTATGCCACATTAGCAAGCCAGTGAGAGCACCTTAAGGTGTAACCGATAGAACTTGGCCTCTTCACTTCAGAAAATTATTTTCCCCCATTGCTTACTTTCCAGCCTTGTTATTATGTTACTGATCACACTACTCACAGAATTAGAGACTCCAGAGATGTAGTAGCTATCATGCCTGTTACTACACACATTAGACTTTCCATTTATTACCAATAAAGCAAGAGATTTTTTAATGACAATATGAGGTTTGAATGTGCATCCTAATAGGATAAGGATGCTGCTGCATGCTTTGCAGTACCCTTCAATCTTAGTTGAATTACCTTTACTGTCACTGAGGTAGTTGTTATCCCTATGTTAATGGTGATCTGGGGGTACTATTCATTACAAAGCCCTCTTGAATTGCCTGGCACATCACCCTGACTCTTTCTGAAAACACAAATTATTTGGCTGGAGCTTCTGCAGTGAATCCACACTTTGTATCCTCCTAAAAACCTTATCTGACAAAAATCCTACACATCTCATACGCCATTTATGCAAAATGTAGGTAACAGTCCCACTCAGCAGTTTTGAAAACCTCTGACCACTGGGTATCAAAGCCCAGGAGGTCCATAAATTCTGCAGCAACAACTCTAAAGTTCTTTGGCCCCTATGCACCCATCTTTTGCAAATGTCCTTGTTCTGTAAGAAAAAAAATCATTGGTACCTACTGTGTGTCTAAGCCCATCCAGGTTCCATATGCAGATATTTCCTCTGCCAATATCAACAATGACAGCCAAAAAAGTGTTTATACCTAGTAGAATAGGGAATTTGGTGTACAGATGTTTGTATTGTTAAGTTCCCTGTGAACGGGCAGAAGGGCTCTAACAATTCCAGCATTCAGAATAACTGTTTTCCCACTAACACGAGTTTTGTGGTCAGACAGCATATTAAACCTATCTGGAATAATTCTTTTTTTCTACCCCGTCAGGAGGTGCATTTGAAGAATACAAGTAGAGGGAACACAGGAAACAGAAACTACAGAATGTAAGAACATGCCATCCACAAGAATGAAGAATGAATGTGCCATCTGCAGGATACTTTGCTGTAAATAAATTATTTGTTAAACATTGGAAGATTTAAAAAACCCCTATGGTTTAATAAGCTTGATGCAATCTCAACCAACGGGCATTCTCCCAGCGCACGATGCAACTAAACATTCCAATATTAAGTCTTTAGAGAACAGAACATTTTAACCAGACCACAGCTAAAAAAAAAAAAAAAAAAATCTGTGGTTGATATATTACTGGTTGATATATTACTGTTTGTTCACCTGTTTTAAATGTCCTGCACAAAAGCTCTTAAAGTCCTGTGCCCCTCAAAAGCCCACAAATTATGGGCCTTTGATGGATCCAATTGCACTAAATTAACCTATGAACACTGGCTGCTGGAGTCATTCATCAGCCTTGTCTAAGTGGTGGTTTTTTTATTTGCACTTCTATACAAGCAACAGGCTGTTTGTTTTACAGTGTCTGATAACATTGTTTGTCTACCCCTTCATATTTGCACAGTTTGACATTCCCAGTAACAGCAGCAGTAAGGTAACATATACAGTTTTTAACATCCATTAATTCCATCTGTGGCATTTTGACAGAACATGGGTTATAGACACATTTGTTTTACGACAGTTCTATTTTTCCTTCTCTTGCAAAGATGCAGTTTATTGCAATTTGTGAGACAAAAGATTTTTAAGAGCAGTTAAAGCATACATAGGCTCTCAAACCATTAATGATTCTTCCAGGTAATTATTTTGCAACAGTATAAGTAACTTCTTTCTTCCTCCATATAATGCAGTATGTAAAAATTAGCATATCAGTAATACACATATATCAAACAGTATGTAAAAATCTCTGTTTTATAGTACAACGGTGCTATTTTATAGTTTGTTACATGAAAGGGTCTGGCCAAAATTGTAATAGGTAAAAGCAAATATGAAAAGATCGAGCCAAAGATTAAATAATAAAATAGTTTTTAAAATATTCAATTTAAATGAATTAAAATACCTTCAGATTCCAACATGGAAATAACTTTCCCGTCTCCAAAAGACAATTCAGATACCTGTTTCCTTTTAGATATTTGAATGGTGGTGTTACCACTTAACTGGGAAACACAAATTCATAGATGCCTATGCCCCAAGAAGACAATTTGAAAAACAACCCTCAAATGACATCAAAGGGTACCCCATCAGGCCTAAATCTGAATTATCAGTGTTCTATTCAAACGTAACAGAGGATTACTCAGGTTCTCTGCTGTTTGAATTCTTCCCACCATCAGATGTGACTAAATTGACTGTTAATTACGTGGCTGCCTCTCTCTGCAAATCAGAAAAGCTAACTAATCACCAAATTACAGTGTAGAAAGAGTCCTTATGAAGAGATGGAACGATAATGTCCTTCAATCTGCTACTCACAATAGCTTTTCATGCACTTTAGTGGGAGACACATACTTCCAGATAATCTCTGCCCTGTAACCTTGATAGGTACTGCACCGATTGTACCGTGAATAACACTGTGTCCTATGCTCCATTTTTGTAAATCAACTCAGTGCTAGATCAGCCATTGAGGAAAGAGGGAAAGGTAGCCAACAGCATCCCAAGGTGAACAATAACCTTCTCTGTGAGAGCAGGAAAGGCAGGGGAGAATGCATTGGTCCATCCTGTTCAGAACTGCAATGTTCCTCCTCCCACCACACTGCATCCCGTAAGCTCATACAGGGGATGGAGATCCCTTGGTCAGCCCCAAAGAGGGCAAAGAGAACACTGTTCGAAGGGAGAAATTAGGGAGATGCTCGATTAGATCAGGAAAGAAAACATCTCTTTTTAAAGGCTCAAACCTTCCTTACTTTCTACTACACCCATTGGAGTAGATGACTGAACTGTTGACTAAAACATAGGAGAAGAATTTCTGCAGACTGCATATTGTACAGCTCCTCAATAGTTTCTTGTGAAACAAACAGCAAAGGTAGGTGTTAGAAGACTAAAAAATTATTATAGTTACTTTTTTAGTCCAATAGAAAATTTGAGGGTTTTAATTTTTGTAAGGAAACTACAATGTATTCCTGTGCAATTCTTTAAACCCTCCACTCTGTGAGATGCATGTTTATATGCACAATTGGCTGCCATCGCAATGTAAAAGCAAAACAATAAATGAATAAAAAGAATATATGACAGCAGACAGAGATAGTTACGTTGAAAAAGGAAGAAATTACAGAGAAACAGATGGGGAAACTAACCTAAATTATTACCACCAATTCAATAAACAGAGGTAGCAACTCTGATACTTGTCATAGCTCTTACAGGCCTTTTTTTGGTGGAGGGATTGAGAGGAAAATATTTTACTTTAATAGCAATTAAGAATTCTGAAATGCATTCTAAGAACAAACCATTATTTTTATCTTACAGACATAATACATATTTCCATTATGTGTCCCATGATTCTTTCTGTTCCCTACCTCCTCTGAAGTCCTAAGGGTAGAAGGGAGGAAAAATGTGACTTCAAAAAGCAATTTGCAGATTCATATAGTGGCAAGTTTCCTTGTAGATAATATTTTACTGGCGCACCACTAGGCATAACAGAATAACCATACATCATTTTGCTATTTTGTTCCTATAAATTAATTCAAATTTTGGTCTTATCTTGGGATTCATGCATTCACATTTATGCCACCATATTTCACCTCACCATACTGAGAAATCATAGAAAATGCCACTTATAGACAGCAAGATCTAAAATCAGAACTTGTCAACTGACTAAACAAACCAGAGCAATTCTTGAAAGTAACTACAATAAATTATGAACAGCTGCAAGCTTCAAAGGCAACACTTGGTTTTACTAGAAAATAAATGGTATCACAAAATAAAATTAAGATTTCTCACCACCACCATAAAGGTGAGAAATCCATGGAAGGAGAATGCATACTAGTATAAGAAATCTCCAGTCATTTGGCAGGGAGCACATGATACACCAGTCAGCATGAAAGATAAAGGGCTTCATTAGTTTAATAATCTCAATAAATCCGCTACTTAAAGAAGTTGAAGCATGAGCCAAAACATCTCCCTCCCAAAAGTACAAAGTAGCCTGACTTGAAAAACTTCTAATTAGAGAAATTGAAGGTTTCAGCTGAATTTTCAAAAGCACTCCAGATATTTAGGAACAGGGCTTTTACTGGATGCCATTGATTCTCATAAATCACCTAAGTGGTAAAGAAAATCCCACTCCCCATCCTTCCATATCATGTAAATCATATGATAGAAGGCACAGATTTTTGTATTCTGGAATAGACACAAAACTCCAATTAATACACAGAATGTCACTGAAGTGCAGAAGTAAAAATGTGAATTAAGCCTCATTATTTTCAGTTAGTTCAAAAAGGACTGCCGACCTAAACCCACTGAAGTCGAATATCTCTTTCATCAAGGCAACAAAATTTGAGCCTTATCTCCATAGTAACCATAATTAATCATTAAGAGTTTAAATGGAAAATGAATAAATTCTATATTCTGCTCAAAATATAGTTACATATCTACACTTGCATTTGTGTGAAAGACATGTATGAGGCTCATTTGTACCATTCAGTCAAGAGAAAAAAGAAAAATCAAGTAATGGGATACTGCATTCAGTCCCTGGAGACTCATTAAAGTAGGTACCATTTGCATATGAGAAATTAGAGTGTCAATTCCTTTTTTAAGATTAAAGGGTGAATTAACCAGTAGCAGGCTTTCTTTACAGAAGTGAATTCCATACACAACTAGTAGCTATGTTCAGCTGCTCCATGAGCTGGTTGTTGACATAGTATCAATGGTTAAAGTTGATTAATGAAGACTCAAGGCCAAGCACTGTGTCTTCTCAGCTCTCCATTTTACCAAGCAAGTGCATGATAAGATGAGTTCAGAAAAGTATCTGCATATTTGCTTTTCCTGTTACTGATTTGGCCAACAATGCCAAAGTGGTGCTATTGTTTTGTTTAAGAAAGTACTTGACTAAAATATAAAAGAAAGCATAAATATTTTTTTAATGTATGAAAATGACAATTATATAGGTATGGTTATTAAAATAGAAATACAACTAGCCATAACTTTTCAACTTTTTGTCACTCGGCAATGGCAAAGAAGTCTTAAATCAGGGGAGATGGGGCAGGAATAAGAGTCAAAATGCCACAAAAATTCATAGACTTGAAATGCAATTCTGAATCTTGACGCCAAGTCAGAAATACAGATGAAAAAAAGCAATTAAAGTCAGGGAACAATGGACATGATTGAAAACCTGTTCAGATTAATGCGAGTCTTATATCATACCAAAGATTTTTAAGCCATACTCTAGCCTGGAATCAGTGTAAAGTTTGGCTTAAAGTCAGTGGCATGATATGATCAAGATTTTAATTGAGCACACATTTTTATTTTTACCAGATTACCTTCTCACTCATGGCATGCCCCCCCAGTCTTATACTTAAAATAAAAAATAATAGCACATAGAAACGCATCTGCTTTTAAAAAGGAATGAAAAATAAATATTCCTAACCTGAAACTGATGCTATTTTTAATTTTTACCAGGTTCAAATTGTGAAAAAAAGTTGAAATATATGGCTAACAGTCTGTGAATTTTTTTTTTATTATTATTTTATGTGGTCACTATGAACATCCTAATGTGCAAAATTTCACATTGCATTGTTTTGTTTTGAAATTATGGTAAGTTAAGCCCAAATAGAGATCCTTGGAACCTATAGGCTAGATAAAATACTTATGTTCTGATGAAGGTATAATCAATATATTTAAAATGTTTTATTTTTAGTCTGAAAAGTGATAGTAATAATTTATTTGGGGACTCATCCTATACTGGTCCCTATTTACATATACTGTTCAGTGCAAACAAGTCTTCCAAATGCCTAACTTCTATTCAAAACCAATATTCATTCCTCCCTGCTCCTTCCCCTCAAGAAAACCTAGTTAAAACACTATTGCATCATCATTATATTGTTTGTATGTTTATTTTGGTCGGGGTTGTTTCATTTTGATTCTTTTTTTTTTTATTATTTGGAGGTCAAGGGTAAGGAGGAGGAG